TATACATATATTGTGATGGAACTCCGTTGTATTAATCCCGGTAATGAGTAGTAGAATCGATACAAACCATCCTGTTGCAAATCATCGTTTTCATACATGTAAGCATTATCATTAACGATTATCAATAGTTCAGATGTCTGTCAAAGTTGTTGAGAGCTATTGTCGCTCACTGGATCAATCATTCAATGCCAGTAAGTCCCTGAATTCAATCCGTTCGTTAGTTGTTATACCGCTAACGACTGTCGGCCAATTCGGTATAGTCTATTAAGATTTCAGATTTTTAAATGTGCCAAACGTGCAAGTACCCTCCCATAGGGTTCATACGATTATTCAGTGGTACATATATAAACATTTATGAATGGACCGCGAACCCTCGTCTTGCTGCTTTCTCCTAGAAAGGGTGGAATCTGTCGGTATTTGTCTCTACCATTCGCTACTTCTATGTGCTCAGAAGAAACCGACCTCACGCATTTAGATGAATTTAGACAATCCAATGAATAAACCAGTTTGTGGGTTGCGTTTAGTAAATTACTAAATTGTCTACGTCTATTAAACTGATCCCTTTTTAGATTAGCCCATTTGATTTTTCACAGGCACCAGGCACTGTTGCTAATGTTGGGTGTGATTTTCAATCCTTGGGAAATCGTTAATTCCCCACCGTTTGAATGCATCTTAATGCGATTGAAATGTTTGTGATAACCGTCAATGACCACTGGACAGCTGTTTCATCCTGTTTGGGACTCGAAAGCAATGTGCTTACCTTTTGTGTCCCCGTGTCAGGACTCGAACCGGGAACTTTCGGGGTGCGATTTCAAACCCTTACTCATGAGCTACACGGTCGACGGTTATCCCCTTGTGCAAAAAGCTCAATTAATTTACACAGTGAATGCTTGAATTAGCCCATTAGGTTTTTCACAGGCACTGGGACGAAACAGCTATCCATTGTTCTTTGTCGCTTCCATCGCATTTAAACTAGGTCCCTGTTTAAATAACTTGATGGACGCCAATGAGTAATTACAGGATAATCATGATTTGTGAACGGTTGGAATTTCCGGTCTACGGACCTTTATGTTTGGATCAAAGCTCTGTCAGTGCATTTTTAACTGACTCGACAGAGACTCCGGGTCAGGAACGATAGTCTGTCTGAGTCATATCTTCCTGCCATATGGGTAGAAACAAGGCCACTCCACTGACTTGTACATCAATATGGGTGAGAGTCAGCTGTATAAAATGCAGGAGACACTAAATAGATGATTATGTCTTTCCCTAGTCACTTAAATTGTGCAAACGATTCTTGAAATCCTCGTGGAGCTGGTGTTAAATAATTGATAGATTGCCTTCAGTCGCCATTCAGTCGCTAACGTTTTAAAACACTTTCAATCTGTAGGCTTCAATAAGCTCTTCAAGTGACATACAAACCCAAGTGTTGGATCGTGTAAGCGAATTCGCAATAAGTGGTCTGAGAACATTGGTGCTGGCCTCCCGTGAGCTACGGGAAACGGAGTATAAAGAATTACTGATGCAGTGGAACACAAGTATACAGTTGTTTGGAGAGGAACGGAAAAATGCTGTGAACAAAATTCGCAATCGCATCGAAAGTGGTCTGGAATTGGTTGGTGTCACTGGGGTGGATGATGTGCTTTCTCCGGGAGTTCCTGAATGTTTGACAAGTTTACGTCAGGCCGGAATAAAAGTGAGTTCAATTGTGGCTTTCTTTGCAAGTGATTTTTTTTCTTATGTTGGCATTGTGCAAAGTTCAGTTGCCCCGTTGGGATCCTAACCCACACATGGACGCCGCACACATTGTACCAACTGAGCGACGAGGCCACAACGACGACACTGATCTTTTCATATGTTACTGTAAGTTGGATGAGTGATTCGAATGTGAAAAGATCAGAGCTATCGATGTGGCCTCGTAGCTTAGCTAGTGCATCGTGTGAGGCGTCCATGCGTGGGTTCAAATTCCACCGAGGCAGTTGAGGTATTCAATGTTTCAACCACAATTTGGACGATTTTTTTTCTCCCACTTCTCAACTAACACTGTGATCACAAATTCAATATAAACGCTTCTTTCAGTAAAAATTGAAAATAAAAATTTTCGAAGTAATACAACAGACTAATATTTTTCTTAAATCCGTACAACTATTACTCAGCCAACGCTGATTGAGGCGCAATCTCAGAAGCCAAGTTATGATCCAAACAAACCGTAAAAGTAGATCAATTCATGTGCGGATGAACATGATGTGAATTCCCCTCGACGTATCATCCTCGTTGCCACAACCATCAACATCGATCAACGATTCAACCATCCCCCGGGGGGATTCGAACCCATGCAGTGAATGGAATATGGGTGCTGCTGGTCTGTTTCTATGCTTCAAAACAAATTCAAAGTCAAGAAACGCTTTATGCAACCAAAGGGTGAATTCTAATCAATCTATGATTTTCACAGTGGATAAATAAAACCAATTGTAAACAAAACAAAGACAATATAAGAAATTCTACACTTGCGTAAATAAGAGACAAAATTAATACAAGATTTTTCCCCAAAGATGGATGAGAACAGTCTGACGATTAATCAATAAACGAGTAAGACATCGGATTACACTGTTTCGATATGTGGAGGTACACGTACGAGGGAGTTGATGTTTGGAGCGAGTTTGAGGATTTGACAGGACTTTCACGACATCTTGGTCACATGTTATCCTGTCTATGAACGTATCGCAAACGTCAAGGTGCTAAGCAGTAAGGAAATCAACCAAAACAACTCTATCAACTCTACTGTAGCGAGAAAAAGTTCAGCGAATCTCGATAATTAAGTGAAGTCTTTTTCTTTCAGTCCAGGGATAAAAATCGGGGAACAGTATAACCAGTGTGGAAGAATGCAGGCAATCACAAATGTAAGAATAAGATTACCTGGTACGGCCAGTTTCCTGAGGCCGTAAGCATAAAAAAACAGTTTTCGAACTTTTGCAAAAATGCTGATGATATGAGCAGACCGGACCAGGTTATGGGTTAGGGTGAAACCAAGGTATTTAACAGATACAGATTTGGGAATGCTTCGATTGTTAACTCTAAGATCAGGGAAATTATTAGCTAACGAAAGATAACGGGGACCGGTTTTAAAACTCAATGGAACTTCAATGCACTTACTGATGTTAAGTACAAGGGATCGGATCACAGATCAATCGTAAACTTGATTGAGTCTGTCCTGGAGAGGACAAAATCTGTCTGAAATAGGGTATGGGCAACCAATCACAGTATCATTTAAATATTCTCAGAGGTTTTACTCCACTCCAAACAACAGAGAATAATAATATTGCGATACTGTAAATGTAATGGGTTACAGCTACATAGAAAACAGACCGCAAATCGTGGTGTTTCCCAGGTCGGGATGCCTGAACTGATGAAAGAAACGATGCCAGTCAAGAATCAACAGTACACAGTACCACTATGTCAAGCGAACACACGATAAGTGAAATGAAATTTCAGGGCGCAAACATGCGCACGCATGGATCAGTCCGACACATGGGTCAGACAAAGGACCAATCGGAATAAAATAGTCCCATAGACTGTGTATAAAACGGTATTCGCGAATAAATTTTGTTTCCGATATATCGCATCAGGCGTTTACATATATATAAGGTGATCATACCACAGATGTCTGTATGGTTGATTAGAGCTCAGTTAGTAATGATGACAGAGGCGAGCAAACAGAGCAAACGAATATGACAAGGCTAATGATAGTTGTGGGTAGGGGGTTGCGATACTAAACTTAGCAAGATGTGCTTCAACAACAACCAAGGAGGATGCAGAAATGCTTACACTACAGTACTCTCAAATTATCATTGAGTTTAGTAATACTGTTTGCTGGAATATATTCCTAACCCATTACTGGCAGACATTATCTTTTCTCCCGAAAGGATAAAGGCAAAGCTCCGGGCTTTAAAGAAGAATTCCCTTCGGGTTTTGATAACATACATCCACAATACCTTATCACCTTGACAAGTCACATAGCCGATCATTTAAGTGTACTGTCCCAAAAGTTGTTTGAAGATACCGTCCTTCCTCAGGTGTGGAAAAACTATGTCATTTCGCTAACTTACAAAGGTGAAGGCAGTAGTGACCCAACCAACTACCGACCCGTCACTCTCCTTCCAGTGTTGTCCAAAGTCATAGAATCCATTGTTGCACAATCTGTAGTGGATCATATGGAGAATAATGACTTACTAACCCCAGCCCAGCATGGGCTTCGAGAAAATCATTCATGCGCAACGAACTTGATTTTGGCTCGGGACGATTGGACTCATGCTGTGGACCAAGGCAAAGGGGTAGATATTATTTACCTGAACTTCTCTGAAGCATTTGGGGTAAATCATCAAATACGGATACGGTAACTGTATCACTATGGAATCCGTGGACCCGTACGTGGCTGGATCGAGGAGTTTCTTCACCTACGCACCATTTCAGTTCGTGTTTCCGATTCGGTTGCTGATCCAATAGATGTCAACCGTGGGGTTCCACCGGGATCTGTGCTAGGCCAACGTCTTTTCCTTAGCTTCATAAATGATCTTCCAGATATTCTCGGACCACGAACTCTGCTGTTTGCGAAGAATTTAAAATATGGAGGACAATAAAAAAAACCAGAAGATTCATTTGATCTCCAGAACGCCCTCGACGAAGCTCGCAGATGGTCTATCTCCAATGACATGGAATTCGACGTTACCAAATGTAAATTCTTATCACTACGTCACAATGATCGTTTTTCTTACACACTTGGACACGAAACTTTACCTCATGCTCCATCCAAGAAGGATCTGGGAGTAGTCATTCGCACAGACTTGAGTTGCTCCATACACTATTCAAGGGCATGGTTCATGGCGGTAAAACCGGTTGGACTGTCTAAACGTGTTTTTGGATCGTTTGGGCCGGATTTGTTTCCATGTCTGTTAGCCACATATCTACTTCCATACACCGAGAACTTAATTCTGGCTTGGAACCCATGGCTGCAAAGAGATCGGAAGACGCTCGAAAATCCGCAGAGAATGGCTACCAAGATGGTCAAAGATCTACATTCCAAGACCTATGGTGAAAGATTAGAGCTATTGGGGGTATACTCGTCTTAATATCGTCAAATCAGGGGTAATATGATCTTACTGTATCGGATTTTCCAACAGCCCAAACATCCATGTAGACATCTGTTGGTTCTCTCAACCAATGTTCATCTCAGAGGGCGTCCACTGAAGTTGGCACTCCAAAAGAGCCGTCTCAACTGCAGACGCCATTCGTTTGCAGTCAAAATGTGCAACACATGGAATACTCTACCACCTCACGTGATCTGTGCCCCAAATTTAGTATCTTGATGATGCTTTAGTAAACATTATGTTTCAACACCCAACTACATAATATATTATTTTGTGCTCGTGAAAACCATTACATTACTATTTTACTTAAATGGACTAGCTGTGATCTTGTGAATCGTGTTCCGAACTAAAGTGTAAACACCCTATGGGATTTGATAAGTGAAGGTTTTGTAAGTTTTTCCCATAATGAAAATTTAAATTTGAATTTGAGGTAGAATCGGGCCTGGTGGACTACCCATAGCTACACCATCAACTTGTTTGTAAGTGGCTCCTTCGAATTCAAAACGAATGACTTTAGTAGAGAAAAATCCCATTTGAAATACTCCAACTTTGATTACCCACATCTTTTCGCATTCGATATAGAAGTAACTAGCAATTCCTTAGTATTGTTTTTAGATATTAGAATTACGAGGTGCTTTGTTGGTCCATTTCAAGGTTCTAATCATTGAAAAAGCAGCACGGAGTTGTCAGTATCCATAGGGGACAAGTGAGTGACTGAACAAATATGTGAATGGAAACGTGTATAGGGGCGAGGCGGATAGGGTGAAACCATTAAACGACCATCATTATTCTTGGATTTGAGTTATTTGCTACCTTATGAGCGTGTATGTGTGAGAGAGATAGAGAGAACAAAAGGTACTAACAATGTACTAATCAATAATAGAACATGAGTAGACAGGGCTTCGAAAAATAAATTCTTGATGAAGTGAACATATATGTTTTCTATGGTAAATT